GCTTTGGAGCATATGGTAAGCAAGGAGACATTGCACGGATACACTTGTAGCAAGACAAAAACGGAGGTACATTGTCATATATTATTATTCTGTTCTATTAAATTTAGGTAATACTAGAAAGTTTGAAATGTAAAATTGGAGACTTGTATTCAATTCACAGACAAAGTGCTACAGGAAGGGTGAAGATACATTTCACAGATTAATGCTAAATAGGACAGCCTTTTTCAATGTTTTCTTTTTCTTGCACACATTTCATGGTATGCATGCTAATTTTACATGGATGTGTCTTCACATATTATAGAAATGTACACATGCTAGATTTTCTTTAGGAGTATTACTCAATGTGATGAGGAGATACATATTTTTCGTTGTACAGTAAGATCGTTAAAAATGTGATTAGTCAAGTGGCTGAAATTGCAGTATGTTATATTAGTTAATTGATTATAAATACAGTATTGGACAGTATTATTGCAAAAACAACAACGCATTTTACCCGTTGTCGTTGCATTGTTTTCGTGTTGAATTGCATTAGGTTGAAATGAGCGTTGAAATTTTGTTGCTTATTTAATGAAGGCATGTTATTGTTGGTCTTAGGTCACTGAGGAACTATTGGGATGTTATTATTAATTTATGGTGTACTGTGTGTTTTATTAGTGTTTTAGTATAGTACATACTTGAAGGCAAGAGGACATTGAACAAAGTCAATACAAACAATGACGGCATCGACAGTATAGAATTGACGGTCCTGGTGTGTCTAGGCCTAGGCGTGACATAGGCTACGTAATGTAGGCTTTCTTTGGCGACTGTGCTATTGCAATTGACGGCCCTGGTGTAGGCCTAGACACAAGCGTAAATTAGGCTTATTTTCGGCGACTACTTACAGGTCTATGTGTGCTTTAGTAATCGCGAGGCTGTCTAGAGAATTCCGTCATGTTGTTGATCAAATCGGCCATTGTGCTATATAATCAGCTGTACCTACCCTAGTGTGTGTTGAAAACGAATCAGTTGATCGATGCATGTGCTTTCTCTAAACCACCATACAACGCATGCGTAGTCGTCAGTAGGCGGTTTTTATGGTTGTGATAGCTATAAATAACGGCTGTGACTAAGCTTGTGTGTGTATTCTACCACCAGACAACAGTATTTGTAGGAATATTTTATTAACAGCCTACCGTCAAATCAATGAAAATGAACATTTGCAGAAATAATTTCCATCAAATAATGATGTTTAAAAAATGGACAAAAATATTCAGCATCTGGTTACGGACCTCGAGGGGGAGGGGGGTTGGTGAAAGTCAACCTTTGTGGAAATATTTTCCATCAAATGAAGTTTGAAAAAACAGACACATACAGCATGTGATGGATGGACCAGGGTTGGGGAGGGGGTGTTGGTGTAAAAACATTTGTGAGAATGTTTTCCATCAAATGATGTCTAGAATGATAATGAACACATAAATATACAACGTCATGGACGCCAGATGGACCTGGGTGGGGGAGGGTATGTAGGGGTACGAAGCCCACGAATTTCATGTTGGCAATTGCCGACCATATTGCCTAGCCAGAATTGCTACAGGACGGCAATTTTTTGCCGACCTAGGCCTAGATTTCTTTGCTTCAAAAACTGCGTGGAAAGTCAAAAACAGGCTATAGCAGACACTAAATTTCATGTACGTCGTCAAACCAAGGAAATTGGTGGTTCATAAAACAGATTTCTTTTTAGTACGTACGATTTGTGTACAATCGTTTTCTTTCTCGCCTAGTCATTTCGTAGGCTAGGCCTAGGCAGGAATGACGCTAGCCAGCGAAGGCCTACAATATCGCACAATTGAAGCCATGTGGGCCGCGTAGATCGTAATGCTTATCTAAAGCTATTATTTGTCTTCATTTTACAGTATTATTATTATGCTTAAAATGTTGTTTATTATCTAAAAACAGAAAATTTAACATATTGTAGGCCTAATTCTACCGTCCGTTTAATCACAATCACGATTGCATCGTGACTTCACTACTGACAAGTAACTGTACATGTGTGGAAACTCCCTGATAGATCATTCTGGGCGTGGACATACATGGCAGTTTTGAAGCAGCCTGTGATGATATGATAGTTGTTTTTTACGAAAATGATATTTCCCATGCCAAAGATACGATAAAACGAACGCTAAAACAAAATTTATTCGGCGATTTTTTTTATGTAAAACATATGTATTATACTACACTATGAAAGTAATACAAGTACGACCATTCTTTCACCAGCAATATATTGAGTTATTCGAGAAATTAACAAAATCACAGTCTGTAGATGACGATGTAAGGTCGAGTGTTCTGAAAAATTGTAGTTTATACTATAGGCCTAGGTAGTAAAAAATTGCTGAGGCTGCCGACCTAAAAAATAAGGTCGGCAAATTTTTGCTGACCTGGGCTGGGTACTTAAAAAAATTTGTGAGAATATTTCCCATTAAATGCTTAAAATAATAATGGACACATAATATTCGTACCAAACCTTTCATTTGTTAACGACGACAAATGGTTTACCATTATGATGACAATTTTGTAGTAATATCATTAGTGGAGAAATTCAACATATGAAATGTGTGACAAAAGAAAAGACAGTGGATGATGAAGCACCAGGTCATCTTTATTTCAAAGATGCAGAATGAAGAGTACTGGGCATGAAAGTTTTTAAAATGAGATTGTGTCATAGTTGAAAAAAAAAAAACAACAATGAACGGTATTATTTCTTTATTAAAATACCTGTACTATTTAATAAATATACTGTGTTTAATGAAATTCTCAAATAATTCAATGAATATGAAGTTTTAATCATGATTAATTATTATTATTCATTCCTTTCACTTTATTGAAAATTACACATAAAATGAGTCGTGCCCGAACGCTAAACAAATTGTATATGAGAGCCTAATATCATTTAAAAGGATTAAAATAGCCATTAAATATAGAAAATATAAATGCAACCAATATTATAATAAATGTATATCTGTGAAAGTAAGAAGTGTTGACATACGAAACGTCATCTGCACTCAAACAAACTGATACTGTCAAAATCTCAATGACCTGACTGGCGAACCTCCGACATGTTTTTTTTTTTTCGGTGTCTCCTGTTGACATTGATCACTAGGCGATGGGTATTTTTATCTTCCTCCTGATTCGATGTACACTGCAATACATAGACCTAGCCTAGGCATAAATGCCTTCACACGCGGCTGTTATTCGTGAATATTTTAATGTTTAATCCCCTAAAATAATTAATGGAATGTTTACTTGGCTATGGGTATTTTTGAACTGAAGATTAGGTTTTATTTTAAACACAACGGAAAATGACATTGCCTAGGTACAGGGCGCAATAATGTAGGATTGATCGGAAGACAAGTTCTAACAGGCCTATATCCTTTGCGGCACTAAGCCTAAAATTAGGCTTGGATATTAGTAGATTTATTCGAGGAGATATATTGGTGAGTCACTTCGGTTTTTTCTTTTTCCTCTCTGTTTTTTTCTTTTATTATTGAGTGGAGTATCCAGACTGCTCACATGGTACGCGACAACCTCATATTATTCGTTGTCAAAAACAGAATAAGCCTGGGCCTAGGCTATCCTACACGGAATCCTACAACTCGGCTCCAATCCAACTACCGACCGTAACAAATCTTGAATTAATCACCTTATTTCTTTACTATTATGTAAGTTCGTAATAAACAAACGTCTATTTTGTAAGTGCTTATTTATTTAGAAACTGTTAATATAACACTTTGAGTTAAATTTTGAATAAATAATTTCTGAGCTTTTAACGATGTGAACAGTTTCAACGACAACTCGTTGTCAACGAATGCGTTGGATTTTTGCAATAATACTGTCCAGTACTGTATATTTTAGACAAAATTGAAGGCAATTGATATAAATAGTAAGGTAGTAATAAGTATAGTGATGTGTTAATTGTTTAAGATATGTACACTTAATTCTAATTCTTACTGCCTTTTTTGTTATTTGTCTCAGTGCTGTGGAATTTTCTTCCGGCTACATTTAGAAGTACATCTGTAGTCTTTAATAATTTTTTACTCATTTTGAGACATATCTTAGTTGTAGCTTTTGGTTTTTCTGCATATAACATATACATATATATATATATATATATACACACACACACATATGTACTAACTTTTATATGTGCTAAATTTTATAGCATTTTTATTGATGCATTTCTAAATACAGTTAAAAATTGCCTAAGTCGAATCCAAAATGGCGTTGGAAAATTGTTCAACTTCGATAAAATTTGACTAATACAGATTGTTAATTAATGGAAAACACAACAATTTGGCATGTAATATAATATCAAATTATTCGACTTAGGCAAGTTTGACTGTATGTAAACAAAATTATTTATTTTGATAGAGGTGTTCAAGAAATATATTTTTAATGTACTATATATATTTTTTGAATTATGTTAGTTATCATTGCTTACGTTCTATTTGTAATTTTAACTTTTCTTGTTTTTCTATTCTTAAATAATTGAGAAGAGTAATATATTCTATTTGATTTATAGAATTGATCACACATGGCCTGTAATTACTGTTATTTATCAGATGTTTAATGCATTGTTTTATTGTGTCTATTAGGTAGAAGCCTCCAGGAGGATCACTATTGAGAAGCTTCCTCCAGTTCTGGTTCTTCATTTGAAGCGCTTCATTTACGATAAATCTGGTGGTTGCCAGAAAATGATGAAAAGGATTGACTATTCAGTGGATTTAGAACTAGGCAAAGGTAGGTCCTATTTCAAGGGTCATTTACTTAAAAATAATTCAATCAGTCCATACTCTATATTATTATGAATACTTACCTGGATGAACCTAACGGAGCTTAACTTTGAAAAATAAATAGAATTGACCCATCAAGCGCCCTCTATGTATATTTTATTACATAATATATTTTTGTTTTGGATGGTATGCAACTATAAATACATTTAAATTTACTAAATGGCAAATAGTAATTGAATGCGAAAGGAGAGTTTCCAATAGCAAATAAGTTTGTTTTGACAATCCCATCCCATTTAATTTTAATGTGTATTGTTGTGCTTCAAAATAGAATGAGTACCTAAAGAAAGCTAGATATATAGTTGGTAAAAGGTATTAATTGTTTTTTGTTTTGTTTTTATTTACAGAACTATTTTCATCAACTGTGAAAGGGAAGCTTGGTGGTTCTCAACGTTGGTACAAGCTGTTTGCTGGTGAGTTCCAATCTTTTGTCTTTAGTATAAGAATTGGGATGGATCCAGAGAAAAATGTGGGTGGGGCCATGCAATGTGCAAAGCACCGACCAGGTGAAGTGTGGGATTGAGTTTTTTGTTTAGAAAAGGATGACCATAGACTCTGGTACATGGAATAACATTTTTAAAAATAGCTTGATGGGAATAGAGGTTGTGGCATAAGCATCAATATGTGCAAAATATCTTTAAATAGTACACACAAACAAAAAAATTAAATAATTTTAAGGCATGAGTAAACAACAAAATACAATCCATCATTGCCAGGGATAGAAAACTTCACATTGAGGATGATGTCTTATTTCATATTTTCAGTATTACATACATATTATTGGTAACATGGATGGAATTATTCAGTTGTAAACACCAAGAATAACCCACAGAAGTCTGAAGAAGATATATTTCCGGTGGGGCCCTTTCGGTGGTGATTGGGCAGTACACTGGGATACAATCCCCTACTATTTTCTGAGTAGTGCACTGCGTACAGGACCAATGGCTTAAACGTCTCACCTGAAAGACAGTGTGCTATCGCAACTTGCATTTCGGCCATTTAGCTGAAGCATAAGGAGAGCACCGATGTGAATTGAACCGGGAACCTATATACTGTATCTCAATGTTTCAGTGTACACACAATGGCTACCACCAGTTTAGCCAACTAAGCTTAACTTATCACTCTAATTCTATAATAGAAATATCTCAATGTTATTTCTTCTGTTTTCAGTTGTTTACCATCTTGGGGAGGAAGCATCAGGAGGTCATTACATCACAGATATCTTCCATCCAGCGGTTGGTGGCTGGTTGCGGACTGATGATAGTATAGTGAAAGTAGTCCCAGTAAGCCAGGTCCTAAAGCCAACACTCCCACGGCTTCCGTACTTGCTTTTCTACCGGCAACGCGACTTGTGAAATGGTTTATGGTTGAGTTATTTCAGGAATTTTGCCTGTTATAGACATTCGGTCAATCAACGGTTCAGTGGAAGATGTATGGTCTTAAAAATACAAAATAACTAATGTTGTTTAATTGAAGGAAACTAAGTACATAGATAAACTATTGTTTAGAGGGAGGTATCCAGACCTAGTTATATAATCAACATAGTTTGAGTGAAATGTATGACTTGTTGAATGGAGGGTGTAGGCCTAAAAATACATTGACTGTACAAGAGAAAGAGCCAATGTTAAATACCAAGAAGAGCACTACAGATTAATCCATAATGTAATCTGAGGGCCTTCATATAGGGCAGCAAATCCTAATGTGGGCATTGGTTGAATAATGTAAACAAAGACTTAAAAAATACTGCCATCAGAATCATGTCATCAGCCTTGAGTATAGGAATAAGATTTTTAGTGATTTTATACAAACTCTATGTTCAAATTGTCTATTATTTACATTAAACGATTGATACATACAGGCTTAGAAAAGAAGCCATCAAGGTGTTTTTAGTTATCTCATTGTTGGAAGTTATTTGTCATTTAATATTGGACTTGTGTGGTCTTACATGGCCATTCATACAAGTTTGATTATATTGCAAAACCCTGATTTATATTTAAAAATTTTTGATTGATATGTTTCCAAAGTTTATGAACGAATGTGAGCTAACCGTCACATCCATGGTTGAAGAATTAATCAGCATTGTGCAGTTACATTAAAATGGATAACTTAAAGGAAACTGCAGCCTATAATGTTCTGTATTAGGTTTGTACTACTATAAAAAAAAAAAAAAAATAGAAAAGTTCATGATGTAGTATTACATCCAGCAAAATAGAAACCATTTAAAATTAAGGTAGAAACAACCAGTTTTCACTTAATGGGTTTGGTACTGTAGAATAACATCTTGTTCTGTGATGTCACATCTCATGCATGTGACAATGCAGAAGAATCAAACTGATAATGTTAACACCTGATAAAATTGGGCTTTTTATTATTCCAATTAATAACTAAAAGCAATTAATGATGAAGAAAAAAACAACAAGATTATTATTGTAAATATTTTGTTCTTGAAGTTGAACTAAAATGATATTATATATTTAAGAACATAGTGTAAGTATATTTTCTGAAACAGGTTGGTTTGTACTTTTTCTGTACAAGTAATTACAGATACAGTAATTTGATTACCGTCAACAAAGTTGGCAATTTATCTTCGTTAACGAACTCAAAGTTCAGTGCCGACTGTAATCATGTAAATTTATTAATAAATGAACTTACCTGTATGTGTTGTATGGTTTGATTTTAACCAAGGCTGATTTCCAGTGAGTGCGACACAGGCGCATGCCATGCTTTCCAAAATACTGTAAAACCTATTTTGCTCTGTTGCATTGTGGATTTGACCATTAAGAATATATAGTGCGCCCTCTTCAAGACTACTTTTCCAAAGAACTAATTTTTAGTTCCTATGCATGTGATGCAATATGAACTATTGTATTCACTTTTTTTGCATGTGTGTGTATGTATGTATGTGTGTAGACATCTTCAGGAAAAGTTTTCCAACATTTTGTTCTACTGACAGTGACATGCTTAATGGTACCCTTGGGATTAGTTTACTAACGAGCCATCCATCACTTTATTCCCATTGCACTCAATCTTGTCACCCTGGCCCACATTGCTGTTGTGGAAAATATTTAGGTGTCATTAACATACTAGTACAAACAGTACTAACATAACAAATTATTGTGTTTATTGATACTGCATTTATTAAATAATAATTTTGAAATAAAACCAAATATTGTTATATTACTGTAATTTTATTTTTGGCTTATATATTTTTTTTTACAGACATTTGACCCAAACTGTTTACTTCACAAGTTTTAGTTTTGTTGATCACTAATAAAGAGTCTGAGTGATTTAAGGAAACAATTTGTATTGTATCCTCCCCTCCACCACAAAGGTGTGGGGGAGGGGAGGAGGGAAGCAACGCCTCCCTGAATGCGTCCCTGCGAAAGTTGAAAACAATCCATAGTGATAAAAGTATTACAGTTGATGTATTAATTAGGCCTATAGGCCAACATTTTCACTACCAAAGCATAACATAGCAAACGGCCTAAATATTTTTTCAAATTGAAATATTAAATTCAGTCATATAACTTCTGCATAGGAATGTGGACGCCTGCTAAGGTGGTTTAATATATTGTTGTCTAGTAGGCCATCCCAGCACCTCAACCTCCGATATCGTTTCTAACTGAAATTAAAATACTGTATACCTACATAGGCCTACAAAATAAAGGGTTTTTTTTATGATTCTACTAACTTAATTTACCTATCAAACCCTAAAGCTCATATTGAGATTTAGTTTGTGTAAAAGCATCGTGTGTGTATGTTTGTATTGTGTAAGGGATTGTCACCTACAAGTAGGACAGTGATACATTCGCTATTGACAATCCTTGGCACATGTATTGTGTGCCTAAATAAAGAAAAATTAAACAATGTGCTAAAAATTCACTATTTTGGACCATAAAAACTCACTCCTCCTGAATCGTTCATGTTAAACCACCACACAAATTTGACCCAACCTTATATTTTCTGATAAAGTCATGTATCATGCATAGGAATGTTGACGCCTGCAAGGCTCTGGTTTAATTGGAGACTGCATCAGAGACCACAAATTTTCAGCTCCCACAGGTGGGCCTCAAGATGGAGGGTGAACAGTAGTATCTTCTATGTTCTCTACTGTTGGTATCCTCAGTGGAAATCAGTGATTTATTGAATATTTGATTGATGATGCAAATATCACCTGATTAGATTACATTACACCCCCTTTATAACCTCATCCTTTATAACCTTTTCCTTGAGGTTATAAAGCCAATGCCAAGTCCCATTGCTCAGGAAAAAACTCGCAGTCAGTACATTCTGCAGCATTTTATTCTATTCAGAGGGAAAGAAAAATTGTCATACAGGCGCAATATTGGTCATATCAACATATCAAAAAAAAGCAGAGGTATATCATTACATTAGCCATCTCTCAAAAAACTCAACCTAGCACCCCAAAAGCAAAATATAGCACCATTATATGCCATAGCAGATTGACTGATAATTACAGGTATCCTACTTATTGATATTGGTCTGATGTAGCAGTTTCAAGTCCTAAATACCACCATTATAGCATTGATATTGAAAAATATAGCACTTTAACTGATACTTGCTTTGCAATATGTTTATGTACCTGCTATAAAATTGATAACTGTATTTCATGAATCATTTAACTGCTACAATCAATGATAGTTGCAGCTGTATAGCAGCTATTTTTAAACTGATATATATATATCTGATACATATATTTCTGTAGCAGGTGTATAGCTCCCCCTCTCTCTGCTGGGTATCTGATACATAATATGTACTCTCTCAAAATATATGATATTTACATTCCTATCGAAGTAATGCTATGTTGTGGAGCTATATCAGCTATGTTAGACAGTAGTAAAAACAAATTAATGTGTGTGTCCTTCAGTTGAAATGACACTGGCACAGCATCAATGCATAACACTACGTAAGAATTGTACAAATAACAAAGGCATGTTCAAAGCCAAAAAAAGTTTATTAGAAATCTTCAATATCAAGTTTTCCTTAGAAAATACATCATTAATGTATTGACAGTAGTAGAACATTGCATTAAATTATGTCCAATGCAGCATGTACACATTCAATTCTGAGTATTGTACAGTAGTATTATTTATACAAAAATGGGTTGGGTAAAATTTGATCTAAATACTCTACAACATATTTATATATTATAACAGCGGTTCTCAAATTAACGGTCACAGAATGAATCAGTTGGTCGATAAAAATTTTCCACAGAGTGAATTCTGTCATTTAATTTTACTTCAATTTTGATAAACCTTTCATAGCTGTTTTTTAACATCTTGGAAAATGGCTCTTAACAAATTGCTTTGACATTTGTTTGGGTTGTCTACAAAAAGGTCTGAGAACTGCTGAATTAAGACAATAAATTCTGAGACATTCTACAAAATTGTTTTCACCTTTTAAAAATGACATGTGTACTGTACATCCCAGTTCCACAACCTTTTTAGCCCACAACCCAAATTATATATCAAGCCCTAAGACACGACCCATCAAACCCAAAGCCAATATATCATTTAGTAGGTATCAGAGGAACCACCCACTTTATTCTTTTGGCAGTCAATAAAAAGATTATCACACACAACATTGAATTATTCATTTAACCAAACCACTAAGTTATCAAATTTTTCAATAAGTTCAAATTTTTTTTATAAATTGATTTGCGGACCTTTTATTATAAATTCTATATTACTTGCTGCCAGATATTTATGGGTTATGTGAAGACATACCTGAAGTACAAATGTTTTGATAGTATATTTTTAATATGAAACTATGATTAACGCACGCATTACAAAAGTAAACTGACGCACATGCCACATTTTAACTGCACTTTCCTTTACTGTAATTTGATTTTGTTTGTCCTTATTCGTATTAAGTAAAGTTTTCACAATCTGAAGAGATTATGCGACCCATCAAAATTTTTCCAAAGTTTGGGTCACGACCCATAGGTTGTGGAACGGTGCTGTACATCAACATACACATACCTTAACTTATCTTGAATTCAATTTTTGGATCATACCACTACCAACTGTAGTGGAGTTCAGTGGCAAAGATACAGATTCCAGCAAAACTTTGCAAATGTGCAAATGAATGATAGCATGTAACTTACATCCATCTTTGCAGCTCAAATGTTACAGATTCCAGCAAAGCTAAAAAGTGCGCAAATGTCAGTTATCTGATATTTGATATTATTAGTGTTCATCAGTCTAAATGAGATTATGTTTTTTTTTTGTTTTTTTTTACTTCTGAATAATTCTTGCTGATATTTTTGATTAGATTCTGAGTACTGTATTTCCTGAAATGTTTATTTTTAAGTTTTAATTAAAATCAGATCTAAATTTATTTTTTATTTATTTCAATTACATCCAACAGCAGAATCGCCAATTACAGGATGTCTTAAACATACAATATACTGTATAAAATGTTGTAAAATAAAAACAATAACATACAAAGGAAGCAAATTGACAATAAAGATAGTCCCTGGCTTTCTAAATAAAACAGCTGCACATTTACCTTACATTACTATACTGTATTTACATCCCAAAACCAGTGTAGGCCTAATGCCTCAATATTATATTTCATCTGTTTTTTAAATTTAAATTGGACTGTTGCTTTAATGTTTTTGACATACCAATTCATTCATATGAAATCAAAATATAAACAAATTTTAGATTTCAATTTCTAATTGCACATTACTCACATCTTTTTATCTCGTTATTTAATAATCATTTCAGTCAAAATTACAACCAGTAATTATCTCGTATTAATAATACTCTAGTAGCTAGATCAGGTTTTGTATGCCACCAAATAATGATTTTCTGACAACACTGAACCAATTTCTGAAGCCAAAATCCCTGCAACAAAAAGTGCATACAAAACATGCTGCACCTACTAAAGTATAAGGCATTTACCAATGATACATTGCACCATATGCAATACAGTGGCGTAACTGGAAGTCTTGAATTGGGAGAACTGATGGGGGCGCGAAGGTGAAGTGGTGGAGGGGGGGGGCTTGATGACCAGTTGAGGGGCTGGCTTGATGACCAGTTGAGGGGCACTAATTCTCAATATATGTGATTTTAGGTGATTTTTAACTACTTGACCATAATTTTTGGGGAGGGGGAGGCAGTCCCCCACACCCTCGCCTAGATATGCCACTGATGCAATATTTTCTTCTATTATATAAAAAAAAATGTTTATGTTGCCAAGCCAGACATATTTTTTTTATTAAGGGAGAAAAACCACCGATCTCTGGATAGCTGGATTGCTCATTGGCTCTGGTTTCAGTGAAGCCACTGGCGCCATGTTGGGAGGCCTAAGTGCCGTACCACTTTAGACAAGTTTCTTTTGGCCTTTGTTTAAATTATTGTTAAGAATAACGATTCTTGCAATACGTTTTAATAATAAATTTATATTTAATGTAATGATTATTTTAAAAATCACCTAACCACTCGACGCAACTGCGTACAGTATGCAGTTTAAAAAAGCACATGTGAAGTTAATTGCGTTGTTAGTGATCGGCGTCACTATAACAATGCGACTTCGCTCGCGTTATTGCAAACTGCATAAAGAGACGCGTTGATTAGTTCGACGATTTGAAAAAAATCCTTACGTTAAATTTATATTTATCTTTGAAAAGTATTGCAAGAATCGTTATTTTAATTTACATTTATTATTGAAAAGTATTGCAAGAATCGTTATTTTTAACAATAATTTAAACAAATGCCAGAAGAAACTTGTCTATTAAAACTGGTACGTCGGTGGCTTCACTTTTTCCTGTACAATGATTGGCCGATGAGCAGTCCAGCTATTATAGTAGAGATCAGTGATGAAAAACACAGTACTTGTAACATGTTTGAAAGGGCCACTTTTTAAGCTGTAACAAATTTGACATCGTAATCATGGATTTTAGCCATGTGGGTTACTATTTGACTGAGCAAAAAACGTGGTATTGAGTGGGTCAAGAATTAGGATCAGGCCTATAAAGTAAAAAAAAAAAAATAGAAAAAATCCTGACCAGTTGACCATCCCTGATTTCCAAATGCCATTGTTACTGCAACATAACCATTTTTTGTTTGTTTTATCTTGCATAATTTTAAAATTCACAGTATTGAAGGAGGGATAGACAGAACATTTTGGTCCTAAATGATTGCCATACGACAGAATATTTAATATTGTGGATATAAAATAATAAAATTTTTAAAAGTATAGTTTTCATGTCATATTATATTGATAAAACTTAATAGAAAACACTAGAGGGTATAAAGAAAAACCAGTTTCTGTACAAAAATATATTATTTGATCTACCAACTAAACTAAGAACAAGAATTCATCTGAGTAATATAAATATTTGTGGATTATATAAGAAAACATAATGACCTTCAGTTATTAATATTATAATCATTAGTTAATATTCATCATTACGACTTTAGACTAGATTACAAATAAAATTTTGATCTTTAGTAATTTTTACATTTGCTGTGGTCCTGAATTAGTTCCAGCTGGGTACGGTGTAGTACCAAGAGATGTTTGTCCACCAGCAGTGGCTGGGTATCGATATGGTGTTGTACCAGGACTTGTTGGTCCACCGGTAGTAGCAGGGTACGAGTATGGTGTTGTCGGTCCACTGGCCATGGTTGTGTACGGGTATGGTGTTAAACCTGGATTTGTTGGTCCACCGGTAGCGGCTGGGATACTTGGCACTCCACTGACATTAGTTGAATACGGAAATGTGGTTGCATCTAGTGACAGTGAAGAAATTGCAATAAAAAGTCTCAATGATCAATCATAAATGAGTAATTGATGATTTATGGCATTATAATCTATTCCAACTTTCTGCAAACGGTGTGTAGTGACCCACTACTACTGCATGTCATCAAAATGTATCAGTGGGTCATGCTGAAATCTTCAAATCCTGGGTAGATATGCTTAGTCTGTAAAGACCATAATAACCACTGATAGACACAATGAATATTTGATATAAAAATATTTTGTGTGCATCCACTGACAAGCACACAATTTCAATAATCAAAGCAATTGTTTACAATATGCCAAATTTAGCTGTACATTTTACAAGTTTAGAGAGTTTCATCCCTGTTAAACAAGGGACGACCATGCTCACTCCAACATTCCCAACCATCCATGTATTCACCTTTCTTGATATAATTTTATAAGAGACTATTAATTAGTTTTAATTAGTGAGTGAAAATAAGATGAAATTGTATATTCCCATTTTAATTTAGGCCTACCATGCTTAGGAACTAGCTAGGCCTACATTTTATCAAACTTCACCTACAGTAATACCCGATTCACACGTACAAAAATCCTACCAAATGTAACCAAAAGTAAAATTTGACGGCACATGTGAAAGTACCTCCATGTAATATCCTTGTAAAATCTCAGAACGTCTCGGTAATCTTTACCAGCCTCTGGTAAAGCTTCCGAGATGTCGAATGGATGGATCTACGCATGCGCAGGAATTTGAATTAGTAATGGTAGAAGAAGATACATAAATTAACTAGGAATGGTGTTAGTACTATTACTAGTATTATCAAGAGTCGACAGAAAGGTCGGAAGCTAGTACTAGTACAGCAGTTGCTAGGGCATTGATTGATTTGAATGTTTACTGTGATGGTGAGTTTCAACAGTCCATCTATGACGGGGTTCTCAACTAGGCCTAGGCCTATATTGTAATAGGGGCAAAAATGATTCATTGAATAAATTTGAAGGGCCGGGGCAAGGTATACTAGGCCTATGGCACGTAGCACTGTCCGAGTGCACCCGTTCGGCGGCGAAATATTTAATGCCCCAATAAGGGTTATTGTATAGAACGCCAAGTAGTGTAATCAATGTGTGAATTAGATCACAGTGCAATGTGGCAAGGTTAGGGGGTATACTGTACAGGGAAATCATCTGTAATAAAATCAAATTGTTGAAATAAAGAGTAAAAATGTATTGTTTGAAGAACACAATACCGTTTAATTATATAATTTAGTACATTATTATTAAGATTGATTGTTTTACAGAGTAGTTTTAATAGCATAATTTTTAGTTAAGAAGTGTTTTACATTTATTTTATCAGCAAAATATTCTAAGTTGAAACTTTATTGCTTGGAAGCAATTTAATTTAACTATAGCTGTAACTTATCAAGAAACTTGATTTGTATTTTGTATATAATATAATTATTTAATCCTGCATTATAATTGTATATGTACAATAACAAGCGTACCTAGTGCAAGACGATTATTTTACCGTATTTAAATAATTTAATTTACCTCATATACAAACACGATGATATAAGTGACCTACTGTATATATCAAATAGTGGTAATTAATAATAATAATTAAAATAAAGCAATTTCATCAGAGTTATCATTAATATATTAAGGTGTAAACGAATGAAAAGCATTCTACTTGAGAATAATGTGTTTAATCTAGGCATGAATGGAAATAAATTGCTTTAAATAGGTATCAAGCTACATGTGATGGATGAGAAATACTAATAATTATAATTTTGGTAAAATTGTATTTTGATTTGAAAATAACAGTAGGCTATCAAATATTATCTTCAATTCAAAAATAATACCATTTATTCACTTCCTCAAATACAAGAAGACTGTTTTGATAACTTCAACAGTAAACAATTGTTTAAACATTGTATCGCCACATTCTCTAGCCGCATAATATTCAATTTTGACTATCTGATGGAGGTCTCTTGATCCATGGCATGAGAAAGTTAAATCTTTATATTAATAAACCACATTTTGCACCTTATGCTCATGATTCACACACCATGGCCGCAATTTTTAATGTAGAAAAATTGCTTTAATACTAATTGTACAAATCAACAAAGAAAAACTTGATTTATTAAGCCTGCTGGTCTGTCTCCATTTCCTTTCTTAGTTTTTAACAAAGGGCCTATTTTACCATTGTGAAGTTAGCTCATTATTTTTAATCTACCTAACTTAAACACTGGCAAATGTCTTATTTTCATATTCACTATTATTGTATCCCATAGTTACCAACCGTCTCGCATCGTGTGAGACGGTCCCGCATTTCAAAGTGATTTTGGCAGAAACACGCATGATTTTAAATTTGTCACGCATTTCATTTCATTTCAGTTTATTCAGAGATAAAAACTAAACAATACGAAAGTACAGAAACAAACAGACAAAAAGTACAAAGAACAATATCAACTGAATGAACTGAGGAATATACCCAAGAAAGTTTACAAGTAAACTTATTTCCATTGGGATCCTCAAGACAGAAAGAAAACATTGAAAATTGCACTAACCCTAACCACTAAAAATAGCAAATCTTCCCAATTCAATTACATTAAAATTGCACATTACAAAAGAAAGTCAAACAAATGAAAGAAAGCAGCACATCAAAGAAACATCAAGGGATAACAGTAAAATTTACAATTTAAAAATTACAGAGAATTATTATAAAATTATAATTAAAATTCATAAAAATTAAGATTACCAAAAACGCTTATTATTAGATAATTCACTAATTAAAAGGTATTATAAAAAATAGATATAATTTAAACAATTAGGATTGCAGTTCTTTTATTTACAAAGTTAAAAATACAATTATTAATTTTTTAATGTTTGATTCAAGAGGGGAGTGAGTTCCAGTCCTTAATGCTATTATAATATAACGTATTGTTAGACTTGCCATAAGGAATTCTGAAATTTGTAGAGCTTTGCCTAGTTTGATGTTCATAGTCTACGCATGACGACGAATAATCACGAAGTCAGGGAAAATTTATTTAAAATTAGGAGAAAATAGTTTTTTTTTAAATAGTACAATAATGCAGTAACTTGAGCCATTAGAGAGCTTTCGTTATCTCGTTTGAGATTCAACTTGCCGAAAGCTTTGGCGGCGCGTGCGGTCTTGCACGTTCATTGTCATAACCAACGTTGATTATGTGACTGAAACTGCAGTTGTCAGTTAGCATCAAACACGCACGCAGTCAGGTAAAGTACAGTATTTATGTGAATACTTAATTCACTAATGCGTTACTAAAAATTGATTGGTATGGTTAACTGGTTCTGGTTATAGTGGGTAAGGCCGACCTCCTATGGACTCCAAACGTGTAGGACCATGGTTCTTAGTTGGTGGCCCACGGGCCAAATTTGACCCATGAAGCTATCCAAAAATTAAAATATATTAAATTAAATCATTTGATAAATAATTTTCCCATTACAGTAGAACTTCCTTTTTACGTACCCCAGTTATACGAACCCTCGGTTTTATGTACGCCTCGTATCGACAATAACGTCATCAAAAACCCCCAGAAAATATTCAAAGCAAACGGCCCTTTTCAGAGCAACCATAAGTAAAAAGACTATACAATAACCTATAACGATAAACAAACCAATGCAACGTATTTTCATTAAACAGCAACGTTGATCGAGTATAATACCGGGTTGTTAGGCTATAATCTAAAACCATGTGAACTGAGTGAGATGAACAACTACTGATGGTGCTCAAAATAATTGCTTTCCTCCTTAGCTTCATGTGACAAACCATGGAAAAAATTGTCTGGTCAAATTTTCTACACGAAGCTTGGTTGGCTCGCCCAGTGCAGTGCACATGGTTGTGTTTCACGTACACGAACGCTAATTGGTTGGCTCGCCCAGTGCAGCGCACATGGGTTAAGTTTGTCTCAACAGGCCCAGATAACACCACAGCTCTGTTGTTTAAAATAGGCATGAAGGAGAATTCTCAAGTTATACCTTTGTCGTATAGGTAATCTTACAATATTTTCATGTTCTTTAGTTAAATAAAAGATATAAAGTGATGAATTATTAGACTAGACACATGGTTTTATTTGAACACTTTATTACGACATTGTAAAATGATGAATAAAAACACTAAACACATGGTTTTATTCCTAGGCCTAGAGGCTAGGTCTAGCCTAGCTCAGGTAACATCATTGTTCATACATACGTATATTGAGCGTTACGTACGTATTGGTAAAAGGTTACCACAAATTAACCCAACCTCTATTTTACGAATCCCCCGATTTACGTATGCCCTCTGGTCCCGTACTGTACGTAAAATCGAGGTTCTACTGTATAATTGAAGACAACAACGAAATTCCTAAAATATATATATTAACTACCAAAATTCAAAAGAACAGAAGCTTGTTTATTTTTAATATATTTAATCTTGAATTTTCTAAGGTTTCTTAATTCATTTTAAAAAATTATTTTAAATTAAAAAGAATTTGTTTTTGTATTAGTTTCAACTTCATCCAAAGAGAAGTTTCTGTAATTTGGGAGAAATTTTTATTTTTTAAATGTCTGTCTACTTTTAAATTTTGATTTTTAGTTTTAAAAAGATCATGCGTGTGAACATGGCTCCTATTGTATAGAAGATGAATGTGCATGTTAGGTTTGTACGCAAGCTTGTCTTTGAGTCTGTTAACCCACTGAAATCTAAAAAGAATAATCTGCTATCAAAACATGCCAAAGATTAAGTTAGTTATAGCTATATCTGGAAAAGCCTGGGAAGATTTTTTAAAATTTGGTAGACTCAAAACCGAGGTGGTTTGAGGCTTTACTTTACTGAATATATTACTATTACGGTGGCTACTTGCCACCTGCTAATTTTCCCCACGGATTTTTTTCTACCTAGAGAGTTATTCCCCAGGCTATTTCCCCCCATTTTTTTTATGCATTGTTCCTCCCAATTTTCCTATTGATTTTTTTCTATCAGGTTATTTTCATTATACTTTGTAAGAGAGAGAACATATTTTTTTTAAATTTTGTGTATTCTCTATATCAATCAATTATTGTCTAGTTGTTGTAAGGTTACACTAAAAAGGTGTGCTGATAATAAAAAAGAGTCATTTAATCAATTGAATAATTGACTATTGATGCATTCGCAATACAATAAAATGAAGCCTAAATACACAGTTGTAGATTTGTAAAAACGTTTTGAAAGTTTAAATCCGGGTTTACATAAGAAATACAGGAAAGAAAACAGGATATCTTTATAACATGTTTCCTCATTTGGAATTTCAATATTACACCTATTTTCTAGTTGTTCTATATACCATATTTCTTTGCTTAAAGTTACAGAATTTGTTACCATATATTGTACCAAGAACATTATAACGACTTGCCTAATTACCGGTACTCAGATATTATCTTTTGGCCTGTGAGCCCAACTCAAAATAAATGTTGGCCCTTTAAACAAATTAATTAAGAATCAGGAGTGTAGGAGTACAACAGGAGGGGTAGAAAGAGTGTCGAATGTTAGGAAAGGTTACGGCAGCCTATTCATTTTTTCTTTGTTTGAGTAATGAATGTTTGTGTACATAGTTTGGGTGCTCAAATTAAACATACATTGAAACTCAAATTGTACGTGGCTTTATTAAAAATATTTTTGTTTATGTACCTCATATTGTCAATACACTCCCTAAAAATAGCTCAAAAATGCTCAGATCGCCAGAACGCCCATGGGGTATCGCCCCCAGAACCCCACCGGCGCCCAGAACCTGGACCACAGCAGGGGCTCTGCTGGCCGTCAGCCCGTGTTTCAAATCACGCATTTCAATAATTTCAGGTTGGTAACTACGGTATCCTAACAATTCTGGTCTACCATCTCAACATTTGTCCAATTTGTTATCTTTATTTAGACTGAATAAAGTAATATTGGGGTAATATGTGACTTGCATTTGTTTCAGGCATAGATCAAAATGGCAATATTGCAATAATAATTCTAAAACGCTGCATTAAATCCCAATATTGCGATAACAATAGCTCTGACCTTTTCATAAAAAAGACATTGCCGGAAGGGAGTTTTTTTTTCCTGCAGGTAAGTTGAGCCCATTGCAAGTTCTAAGCCAAGCAGAACACATAAACAATACGTCATAGATCACACGATCTAGGCGTTATTTGAGTTGCGATATGTTACTAACAGTAACGTTAGGGTTTCTGCATGTATACAGCAGAAACATAATGATTTTACAGATTATAAAACTTTTATGTATGACTGTATTTGTGTTGCATATCATTAAGATTAGGAAGGGAGTTTTTTTTTCCTGCAGGTAAGTTGAGCCCATTGCAAGTTCTAAGCCAAGCAGAACACGTAAACAATACGTCATAGGTCACACGATCTAGGCGTTATTTGAGTTGCGATATGTTACTAACAGTAACGTTAGGGTTTCTGCATGTATACAGCAGAAACATAATGATTTTACAGATTATAAATAACTTTTATGTATGACTGTATTTGTGTTGCATATCATTAAGATTGTGGCTCTAATACAAAATTAGTTGTTAAATTGTTGTATTATCATCATTCAGGTATTATCATCATGATTCTACACTACAATTTTTTTCAAATAATTACAGTATAATAAATACCATATACTGTATGTAATGTGTTAAAGTCTTTATAATTGTACCTGTATTGAATTGTAAAGCAGCAAAATGAGCTTACAAAAACAGAAATGTTCACCTTTTTGCTAACACTTATTACTTTCATGTTACAGTACACAGGAAAACCTTTCCAAATCAGCAGAAATCTGCTTGGCTAGTTGGATTTGATTTGATTTGATTTATTTGATATCAACAGAACAAACATCACAAAACTGGAAAAACAGAATACAGTGAAACAAAAATGAGAAAACAAGCAAGTAATCAATGTTGATATCTTTGATATCTAGGATAAACCTCTGAATCCAGACACAGGATCTATTTCCAGAGGGATCCGTATACTCTATGTTTGGATAACCCATATACTCAAGTTTTGATAACCCTTACTCTATGTTTAACTCTTTTTAGTTGCAACTATAAAGTGATAGTTGAATTGAACGTTGACCTACAGGTATTCTTTGTATTTTAATTTTTATTTCACTTTGTTGTTGATTAAATTTCAATATCATGTACTGCAATGTAATATGGGTTTTCCTTTTTTTTCGGTGTCTGTTGACATAAAACCAGCTCTTTATGATGCACGATATGGAAGAGCCATTTATGTAGGCACAGATATCAAAACCTTGTTTTATCTTAGTTTTAGTTGAGGTTGGAAGGCCAATATTTTTGGGTGCTCCATTAATTACTGTATATGTATCTGTGAAACTGGCTTATTTGAGCCAGAAGCAGGTCTTTTTGAATTTTAGACCGCACTTGAGAAAGACTGCAAGAAATCAAATCATTCCCACCACCCACCCACCCACTCTCCAAGTTTCGGTACAAGTGCCAACCTCTGTGGCACCCAGTCCTAACATATTATCATATAATATACGGTGGAGATTTCGATTATCACGTTTACATCCACAAACTATCTCCATCCTTGTAAAATGATAATGAAAAAAAAATGTTGAAAACACACAGCATGCAAAGGTTTGAAGCAAAGATTCAGTTAATCGTGGGAAAAAAATTTCTTGTGACCCATGACGTAATGTCTACACTTTGTCATTGGCTTTGAACTTGCAATAGGCTGAACCTACATGCAGGAAATAAAATTGCATACCCATAAGCTTCCAATTTGGCTGTAAAAAGTAGCTTTGTCTGAAAGCTGCTTTCAAACCAAATACCAAAGATTTAATACAATTGGAACGTGTCCAAACTACAGTATCTTCACCAGATGTCCTGATCGTCAAATTATCATCAATGTAATAAAAGCATACATTTAGTTTAGTAGGTACAGGAAGTGGTTTGGTTTATTGCCAAGGTATTTTTACATTTATTACCAGCATTTACTAGAGACTGTATAGGCTTTTCAAGATCAAGATTTATGTATCTTAACATTAATTCATGGTGGAAATACTAGGTAATATTAATGACGTATACAAACAAAATAATCATGAAGATAGTGACGACAACAATTAAAATAATTAATACTAGAGCAGTGTTGCCAAACCTTTCTGGGCCAGGGGACCACTTCCTACAGTACACTATGAACAAATATACAGACAACTCCATCTAGTATTCAAAGACAGTAGTCAGACCTTTAGACATAGTAGAATCATCTTTTCTAATTTTGACATACGGAGAACATCATTTATTCCAGTGGCTATGTTTACACAAATAGAAAAAATAATTATACTGTCTGAAATAAGCTTTCTGAGCGCAATAAAGTCGATGAGTCTACAGTATTGATGAAGTAGACCTAACACTGAAGGTGAAAGTCAAAAATCAAACGATGTGTCATTGGAAAATTGAGTATCAAAAAAAATTTAAAAAGCAAAGATTCAAATTATGACAACAGAAAGAAAAAACAAAGCTGGTGTAATTTGGACATGGCCAAAATCTAATGATTACCTTGAGCCTAATCATTATTATATTTTCTTTACATTTGGCTTTATGCTCGGTATTTCACCTGTTCAGTGTGAACATCACCCAGTCGCAGTGTGTGCGAGACCGACCAAGGCTGTCGTTGGCTTATTTCTAGGCCCATGTGAAATTTTAAGTTGGGAACAAAAAGCAAAGCTGATAAACTAAACCCAATATTTCAATAATACATGGCACGTCTAAGTGTGAAAGTATGTGCATGTGTGTGGAGAAATAAATGAAACAAACAAGCAATGTCAAATTAGAATAGTGTTATTTTTTGTGGATTTACAAGCCATAATGACAGCAGACCATTCGATCATTGGAAAAACACTAAAATTTCTCGCGGACCACCAACGGAAACTTATTGTAAACAGACCACCAATAATTTTCGGTGGGCCACATGGTGGTCCGCGGACTACAGGTTGCGTAACACTGTACTAGAGCACACTCCGGGAGTGTATACCTCGCCCAACATCGAAATGTCACACCCTACTCGGGATCGTTACCAACATTTAATCATTTCTTCCTTGAAACATGACAAACCATTGTAGAAAATTTCATTCAGATCCTTTGATCAGTTTTTGAGATATTTACTGTAGGTCTGGGACATTAGCATTTAAAATGACACACGATCGTCACCAAAATTTTATAATGCCTTCCAAATACAGATCGGTAGATCGGTTTTTGAGATCATCACCAAAATAAAAAAGAAATCTTCTATTCAATGTCAGAAACCATCTACAATATACACACACACACACACAGAAAATCTGATGAAAATTATTTTAAATTGAATAAAACCAAAATATATTTTTTAAAACCTGTACTGATTGCTTATTGAAAATATCAACTATACTGTACATTCCACTTTCATGACAAACAGTTAATCATAAAAATAAACCTTCCAAATAACAAAAAAATATTAGCAAGCAAGGTAATACTTCTTGTACAACTTATTAAAATGTTTAATGCAAAAATCATTCTTAAAACACAGTATCTCATTAAAACACCTAGAGAAACAACTGAATTTTCAATTTTTATTAATTGAAATGCTAGCAATAAATATAATGTTTTTTTGTTTTTTTTATATATATATATAAGAAAAAGAAGATATCTTACTAAAATAACTGGGTGGAGGTGGTTCAGTGGTATGCATCCCCTTCGGTTGTTGTCCAGTTTCATTGTAAGTTGGTGGCTTACCTTGGTTAGCCATGGAGGGCTGGAAATATGGTGCCACTGGCTGTTCTACCATTCCCTGTTGGCCATGAACTGCTGGTGGCATAACGTTGGCCTATCACAGAAAAGAAGCAACCAAATAATATTAAATTTTTTTATAGGTTCTATTCATTATAACTTATGGATGTAATGGTTATTGTTTATGGTTAGTTTTTCGTCACCTTTCGCATCCATTTTCTCAAACTCCCCCCCCCCCTCCAAATTTTTATTTAAAAAAAAATTCTAATAATGTATTTTACGAAATGTACGAACATCTGGCTAACTCACATAAGTAAAATTCCTCTCTTGATTGTTCGTGGTTGGGGATATTGTACAGTACATATGGTAATTATGTGATGTTACAGTGAGTTATCATTATTATTATTATAATTATTATTATTATTATTATCATTATGCGTGTAATTAAGCTAAGCTTTAGACTATTAGTATTCAAACTTTTTGATATGGTGACCAGGGGCGGATTTAGGGGGCCCCGGCCCCCTCCCCTTTTGGGAGGTAAAAAAAGAAAAAAAAAAAGAAAAAAAGAAAGAAAAAGAAAAAAATTATAGCCCACAACGCCTCAAATGTTATTTTCCGGCGTCTAGAACATTTTATAGTACATTTTATGCTCCGATTTATCAATATGGCTTAGCTTTAAAATTCTTGAAATTAAAAAGTTTATTGTACGCATGCGCCACATAAGACAACTTCTAGAGTAAGATTTTGCTAATATGGTTTGATAAATCAACTTAAGACATTTGCTTAGGGACATCTTATGTTTTTTGACTTTTTGACGTTTGCTAAGCTGAGATTGATAAATCCCGGGCCTGGGCTTTTTTTTTTTTGCGAATTTTGGATGGGCTTCTTTTCAAGATGGGCTTCTTTTCGAGACTACTTTTGCAAAGTAAAGAGTGGAGCTTTTTTTCAAAATGCATGTGAGTTTGTACTATAAAACAATAAATAAGGCTATTGTAAAATCAATCTTAAATTACCTAAACTACTGTATAAACCTAAACTACTGTATAAACCAAGCTTGTATTTAATTTATTTTGTTTTATGAAATTCAAACAATGTTCAGTATGTACTGTACTATCTCGAAAGCATTTTTTCAAGGTTAATTTTGCTAACTAAAGAGTGGGGCTTAAGCCTCCCCCCCCCCCCCCCCCCATCAGTCTGGTCAAACTCCCCCATCGGCCAAATTTCACCGGGCAGTCGTACCAAAAAAAAAACCTGAGCCTTGCGGGCGTCAACGTTCCTATGCATGATACATGACTTAACCAATCATATTTTCTGATTAAGTCATCATAAATGACATAATCAGAAAATATGGTTGGGTCAAATTTGTGTGGTGGTTAAAAAATTCAGGGGGAGTCTTTATGGCCCAAAATAGTGATTTTAGACCACATTGGTAATGTAATTTGATAGGCAAATTACAGTAATCTTTTTAGCAAATTTCTTTGAAAAATTTTTGTAGGCCTAGGGCCTAGGTAGGTATACAGTATTTTAATTTTACAGTAGTTTGGAACGATTATCGGGAGTGGGGGAGCAGGCAGTGGCCTACTAGACTACAATTAAAAATTATTTTTCCTATATATTCTTATATTTATTATACGTATTCTCAAAACAGCACTCTAAGATATTTATAGCTAACTGTAGCAAGCACACATATTATTATTAATCCTAAAATTTAGCCGGTAGAAAATTTAAGGACTTAGCAGCAAAAAATTAAATTAATTAAATTAATTAATAATTTATTTGCTTATTTTCAACAAACAAAATTTTTAAAGAAATTCTTAAAGATACACAAAAACCAATTTAAACAGAGAATAAATATTTGCCCAGATTTTCCCATCAAATGAACGCCTCTCTAGAGCCATGTATGGAAGATTCATTAATTTTTTTCCTTAAATAAACAAACACCCCCTTCCAATGACTGTAATAAATAAATATAATAGAAGCAAAATCATTCTCAAACACATTCAATGTTCAACCTACTCTTGTAGGAAGGATTACATTTTTTCTATAACTGGTTAAGATTAATAAGTCTTTATGATCATGCAATAATACATTTTGACGTTAATTATATGTTGTAGTTCTAAATTTACAGTGAAATTAAGGGGCGTTTACGTATTAAGTATTCAAATTCAACACCAAAAAAAATAAATAAACATCCACCGCAAATTAATGCCCCCTCAAAAATTCTTCTCAACAATAAACACCTTGCATTTATTTGAATAAATACAGTACTTGTGAAAACTATTAATATTGCAGTACTTAAAATATCATGGCACTTAGATAATCAACTTGCCTGTCCAAAGCCTGGATTGCTGACTGCACTTGTATCAATGATGTAGGTTCGTTGGGCCGTTACATAGCGCTGCCTACGTGCTTTGTACCAGCAGAAGTATATACTGAATTTGAATAGTAGAACGAAAACTATGACTCTGGAAAAAAACATTTACACAATTTTTAAACAACTGAATTCTCTTGGTCTGTTTGGATGCAACAAAATGTATTTAAACATAATTGCAAATACTGTAGTGGAATTAACCAAAATAATATATTTTTATGTAACATGTGGTCTTTGATAATTTGTTCCTAGTTGCAGGAGTGACGGTGTTCCACATCTAAATAGCTGTGGGAAAAACAAATTATCAGCCTGCTAATTTGTGTTTGAATAGTGATCGTACCTGAACAATAATGATGCAGCAACAGGCTTGGTCAACTTGTAAAAATTAACAGCCTTGTGTTGTCTGCTCATTAAACTTGGCAGCGTTATACAGCACGATTTTAAAACAGTTTCATCGTAATGAAACAGTTATAGTATTGAAAAACAAATAACATGAAACAAAATCGTTGTACGAATTAATATAAATATTTACAATAGATTTTAATGGTCAACTTGGTAAAATTTTACGACCAATTTTTACATACATTTGTGTGTGACAGTGTGTAATAGACATGCAAAACAAATATTAGCGGATAGCTGTTGTATATCTTTGAATATCATTTTAGACCGATTCATTCACATGCTTGGTCATCTTGTAATCATTTAGAATTCAACAGTTTTTAATAATAGGGTCCATATCTATACATTCCTAGACGTAGTATCAAATTATAGTTGCTATCACGGTCAATTAAAAAGCACCTAAAATCACCTTATTTTGCAAGTTAGTGCCCCCTCAACTGATCATCGAACCCCCTGCTTCACCTTCGCAGCCTCCCCATCAGCAACCCCACTTCAAGACTCCTAGATATGCCACTGGGCCCCACACAACCTAGAATCTTCCTCCGCCCCAAAGCGAACAGTACGTTTGGTCCGAGTGATTGCAACATCAGTGTTTCCACAACAGATTCATCGGATATATAATCTCTTCCTCCGCAGTTGATGCTGTATTATAATAACGTTCACAGCATAAAGAATAAGATCTCTGATCTCGACGTGCTTTGTTCCATCGAATATCCAGATATTGTGGAAACGTGGATTGATGACACAGTCCTTGACTCTGAACTTTTTGAACAATCTTATTTTGTGTTTAGACAAGACTGAAATAAACATGGGGGTGGGGTACTTATAGCTGTAAAACATTATGTAAACCCTACAGCAAATTTAAATGATTTTTTCTAGGGCTGAGTTTGTATGTGTTACTTTTTCTTTTGATAATCGTAACATTGTTTTAGGTTGTTGTTATAGATCGTCGTCTCCCGAGAAACGAGACAATGAAGCCATTATTGAATCTATTACTTTTCTTGAATCTTTGCAGTCATCTAATGATCTCTTTATACTAGTCGGTGATTTCAATCTTCGAGTAGTTTGGGATTGGGTTGATTTAAATCATAATGGGCTAAACACCCAAGGTAAACTTTTCATTGATACCTTTAGTAGCACTGATTTTGAACCTATAAAAATGCAACCTACTAGGTATCATTGGAATGGTTGTATGACTGTTGGTAGCAATCCTGATCTTTTATTGACGAATGATATTGATTGTATTGATAGTTGTAAAGTTACCCAAGGATTCGGGATGACTGATCATTTGTCTATTACATGTAAATTTAAGTTACCTAAAATTTATTAAATAATAAAATTTATTTAATAAAATTTATTGTTATGGCAAAACTAATGAAATATTATTGCATTCTCTTATTAACCATTCGTCATGGAACTTAGCATATGAAACTAGTGACATTAATGAGTCTTGGGATATATGGTCCAAATTATTTTTTAAATGTATTAATTCTGCCATCCCCAGTAAGATGGTAAAAGGGATACCCAGAAAACCCTGGATCTCGCCCGAAATTGTTTACTTGTCAAAATAAAAAAGCACTCTGCTTAGGAAAGCCAAAAAATCTGGCAAATTACGTTGTTGGGAAAAATATAAAAAGTTAGTATTACCGACTACGGGTCATTACTCGCAATTCTTATGTCGATTACTTAAATAACCTGCCTGTTACTGCCCATGGTAATCAATCAAAAACTATTTGGTCTGCATTAAGTCAGCGGTGCATGCTTGGTATGCCTAGTTCATTTAAGGATAATGAACAGGTATATATAAATAAGTTCCAAATTGCTGAAAAATTTAACTCGTTCTTTAAAAGTTGCTATAGATATCCTACCACACTTAATACGGATTGGTCGGATAACAATGTCCGTGTCGGCGCTCACAACCAAACTGATGTTATAACTTTACTCCTGATATTGTATATAAGGCTATTGGTAATCTGAAAAACATTGCTCCTGGACCCGATTTAATATCGGCTAAAATTCTTAAAACTGCATCGCAATTATTTTTTTATCATGTGTCTGATTTTTTTAATCATTCAATACAACTTAGTGAAGTTCCTGCTGCATGAAAATTTGCTCATGTTGTTCCTGTATATAAAGGGAAGGGTGACAGGGGTTCCTTTGGATCTTATCGCCCCATTTCACTCACTTCGGTCATGTGTAAACTGATGGAGAGGATTTTACATGATCATATATATTCGTTTTGCTCGACTATATAACAACATAATTTCCCATTGTCAATTTGGTTTTAGACCGGGTTATTCTTGCAACTAAATTTTGACCAGGGTGTACCACGAATGGGCGAGTATTATTGATGTGAACCACCCCCCTGATGTCCATGCAATATTTCTTGATTGGTCGAAGGCTTTCGACAAATTTCCACATGCTACTTTGCTCAGCAAATTTAAATCAATTGGGATTGTTGGCCAAATTCACATGTGGATTTGTGATTTCCTTCTGCATCGTACTCAAAGTGTTATTTTTAGTGGAGAATGCTCTCTGCCTGTTTTTGTTCAATCCGGTGTCAATCAGGGTTCCATACTGGGGCCACTTCTTTTTATCCTGTTTACTAGTGATTTGCAAAACACTGTTTCATCTCCCACCTCAATTTTCATGTATGCCGATGATACTGTTATTTTTAAGTCCATTTCTTCTGATGATGCCATCAAGCTGCAATCTGAATTGAATAATATTGCCATATGGAGTCATGAGAATGGTATGGTCATCAATCTTTCTAAGTCTGTTTTCTTCCAATATCCCATTGCTATTTTCATACAAAGTTTAAAATCGTATTGAAATTCCACCCCAGAGTGAGCATAACTACCTTGGGGTTATTATTCAATCAAACCTATGGCATCTCCATATTCAATCAATTTGTAATAAAGCCAACCGAGTACTTTCACTTTCGATCTAAACTTTCACTCACTATGTACAATAGTCTATGTGTTCCCATATTAGATTATGCGTCCCCAGTATGGAACCCCTATATGGAATGTGATATTGCCAGGATTGAACGCATTCAGAGATATTTCACTAGGTATTATTTTGGCCAGACTTGTTCTCTTAGGATTGGGGATATTGGATATATTTCCTATGAGGACCAGATGGCTGAATCGGGTTCTGTTTCTCTTAAAAAACGTTGGAAAGTCATCGATGTGTTTCTTATTTAAATTGTTCAACAGCCCAATTATTAACATATTTGACTTAATCCTTAATGTAAGAAAAGAATATCCTACTCTTTGTAATAGAAATCCCCGATGCAACGAACTTGCTCATTCTTTTTGTCATAGAATTACTGTTGGAATTGGTTTCCTTTACAAGTGCGTAATGGTAATTTTAATTTATTTAAGAAATTTGTTAAGGAATCGCTAATTTAACTTTCTTGTTTGACAATACGTTTTGCTGACGAGTGCCTGTGGATCCCAAACATTTATTGTACAGGAACTCCGTTCCTTTTGGTATGCCCGCCTCCCCACTCACCAGCACTCTGTATACTCTTTGTTTCAATGGATTTTCTTTCAATTTTAATGTTTTAATCTTGTATTGTATATTGTATACATATATATTTTTATGGAGGAAATAAATATAATAATAATAATAATAATAAATAAAGAACGAGTTTCTGGTCTTGAAAATCCAGACACTTTGTTAGGACTATACGGTACAAAATACTGTACAGTATATAATTCATTAAAAAAGCTTCAAAATGAAGTTTATGTATACTAATATTTTGCGAATTTTGGGTTTTTAAAAGCAATCTTTGGATTTTTTTAGACTCAATCTTGGGAATTTTGATTTTTCTCAGTGGTCAAATCCAGACACTTTGTTAAGCCTATACAGTACAAAATACTGTACAGTATATAATTCATTGAAAAAGCTTTAAAATGAAGTTTATGTATACATAGGCCTACCTAATATTTTGCGAATCTTGGATTTTTAAAAGCAATTCTTTACAATATAAAACAGAATTAAAAGGAAAAAAGAAATAGCGTAAAGGGTTAATAATTATATTTTTGTTGAGAAACTCAACTTTTTACCTAGGAAAACAAAAAACATATACATACATACACACCTCGACACTCTCACACACCTCGACCACTTTCATGCACAAGCATACACCAACAAATACGTACCAACACACCTTTACATAACCACACTTACGCATTCACTAAACATATTCTTAACTATTTTGTTTTCCTCCTTTCTCTCATTTTCAATAACTTTGCTCTAGCCATTCTCTACGTTCTACAATCTTTCATTCTCTGTTTAATTTCTTAACAAATTTTCATTATTACTGATTTTGTTTTTTCATTTTCTTTTGGTTTACATTTCCTATATCTTATGGATGTACATCACCTATTACTTAATGTTGGCAGTACACAAAAATTGTAAGTTTGAAGGTTACATTACAATAAAGTAAAGAAAAGTAATAAAACAAAATAATTGAATCTATTCATGTAGCTTTTTCTCATAAAGTACATTTCACCATCTTTCATTCTCTAAAAACAAAGAACATTCAAGAGAAATGAAAAACAACGAAAATTAAGGGTCAAATTACAGGTGTATGGGGATACAATTTAAAATATATATTATATATACGATACATGTACACATACACATACATATACATACACATACATATAAGGATTCTATGCCTACTGTAACTCATTACTACTGACAGCCTCTACCGTGCGAAGCATACAACATCACGCACCAAAACATAATAACAGAACGGCAAATACCATGTGAACCAAAGTTTACGCATGGGCTGGGTAGGTTTGCAGATGACGTATGCTGCGACTTTCTTATTTAGAGCTGAATTCCATTTTTTTAAAAATAATACAAGCTCAAGAAATTTTTTTTATTTTTATAGCACACATTATTTCACAAGTTTTTATTCTAAAATCTTAACACTGTATAGCGGTATCATTCTTTCTGTGAACGTCAACCTTCACCAACCATGTGCATTTTGTGTCGACGTTCGTGAAGCTACTCACGTGACCCGGCCCCGGGGACCAAAAAAATATAATCGTTTGCTATTGTTATGAGTGAAGTGGGTTCTAAAAGAAAAAGTGTCAAAAATTGTTTGTGAATGAACTTTTATATGAAAATAATTATTATTGCTAAATAGATGCTCGATGCTACTATATTTACAACCTGTGTCTATAGCTGTCTCTTATACACATCTAGATGTGTATAAGAGACAGATCTGATACCATCTGACTCGTTATTTACTATATAAATATATATATATATAAACATATATATATAAACATATATATATATATACATATACATACATACACACACACATACATGTATATAGCGTACCTGTATTCCACAATTTTTTAAATATACATAATTAGGGTTTTCATAATTTATAACAATGAATACAATAATTACATGCATATTTTACCATTAGGTAAAATTGGCACATATCATTTCATTTTAAGTCAATACGTAAAGGCAATATTTTTTTCCATTTATTTTTTTTTCCCTTAGTTACGTTTCTAAAACTTCCTTCAACTTCCTTTCCATGTTCCCACTTTTTACATAAATTCTCAATATTCTTTTAAACTTTTTCTTAAGTTGTTATATTCAAATTAGAAGGCAATACATATTTTTTTAATTATTTTTTTTTGTTATCCCATTATTTTTCAGTTTCTATCAATTTATTTGGATTGTCTTTGCTATAGTCTTTCTGCTTATACTTTCTACAATCTTTCACTTCTGTTTTCCTTTTTTTATACAAATTTTCATTACAGTATTCCTACTTTACTTTTTTTTTCTTTTTAGTTTACATTTTTAACCATATAGCCTACCTCTGGATATACATTGCATGTATTCATGGTGTTCACTATACACAGTCACTTTACGTTCATAAAAATTCAAAGGAAAATTAAAGACAAATTATGAATTACTTTTTCAATTTACGTTTCTCTGTTTCTATTCACCAATCAATTTTCAATATTTTCCTTCTTTTTTTAGGTTGTTAATATAGAGCCTTGTATCTTTTCCTGATTCTCTTTACCTTGCTCTTGGTTTGTATATCACTCTTCATTCTCATAATGATTTCATACTTAAATGAATTCCAGATAGCTAGAGACTTTGTCTTACCTAACTCTGACAACATTTTGTTTTTATAAAAAGTATAGGCTGCAGAAGTGTAAATGAAGTCAACTACTTCATCTCCTGTTCTTAGCATTAAGGAGAATTACTGTAATAATGTTATATCCAAATAAAGTAGATCGGATGTGTTCGGTGTGAACACCAAGGATAAGCCTTGAGAGTACAAGACTTTTCCATTGGGTCCATTGGGGTCCTTGTGGTGGTGATTGAGCAGTACACTACAGTAGCGGGCAATGCCCTACTTTTTCAGAAGTGTCTGCATTCTTTAACATGCACATGGGCCATATTCCACACGTAACCAATGGTTTGAATCGCTCTTCCAAAAGACAGTGAGCTTTATCTGAATGGCTTGCTATGCTTCCGGCAAGTTTGGGCAAGATCTTGCTGAGCTCCAATCTAGAACTCATATTCATATACCTACCCACAATAAATTTCAACATAATATTAGATAACTCAGGCCCGACAATGATGAACAATCTCCCTCTCGATATTTCAAATGCTGTTTAAAAAAAAAAAAAAACTACACCTAATGTCATTATTAAATTAATTATCCTCGGACATAATTTGATATGTGTTCATTTTATTTATTTACTTATTTATTTATTTCCCTATTTGTTTATTGACTTTTCACATTATTTGTTTATCTGTTTTGTCATTGTTATTTATTACTTTCTTTATCTTATATTTTCTTTAAGGCATGTCCATCACAAGATCTTCATCTTCTCGGGATCATGCCAATTCTTCCATAGCTAATTTATGTTATTCTTTTAAATCACATCTTATAATATTTGTGTTTTTAGTCTGCTATTTAAGTAAATAAATATGAATGAATGATAGTTTGCAGACAAAATAAATACAACAGATACTGTAGACTGTTTAAATTCAAACTGTTCAGAACTGTACTCACATATACAAATATCCATCCATCTTAGCAAGGTTTTCAGAATATACAGTAACTGTAAAATAAGACATAATAATAAAGATTTATATAGCGACAATTCCAAACCAGTAATATGATCAAGGAGTGTTATATACCCCTGGCCCCTGATAACATACCATGGCAAACTAGACACAAAGTTCAACCTTTTTCTGAGCCCTAGGAAGCAGGGTTTTAGCCAGAAATAAAAAATAGGGAATCCAAAACAGAAGGCAAAAAAACTTGTTGTATAGTGACAGACCCTGGCCAGGGGTGGGTTTGGGAGGGAGTATCTCCCCTCCATAGGTAAGAAAAAAAAAAAAAATTATGACCTTTAGAGTGCATTTAAAAGGTGTTTCAATGTTGGATATTTCAGTTTAAATTGATTACTACTGTAGTAGCCCAATCACACTCGGCATTTTGCAAGTGTGAACTTGATCAATAAATGTTAAGCTGGCCCTGATCCAACCTAAATTCAGTCCGACTTTTGAGTCGCTCAGGTCCTGCAATACGAGACCTGGGTCAGATCAGAGCTGACTCAACTTCATATCTGAACGTAGGCCGAACCTGGGCTGGCCCGAGTTCACTTTGATTGCAGTCAATTTTGACATCTTATCTACCACAACATTCATCCGAACCAACTTGAGCGAAAAAAAAAAAACCATTGAGAAATAAATTGTTAAGGAAACTGTAGAGTAAATTGTATTCAGTTTAACTATAGTTTTTGAAAAAAAAAGTTGTTGTGGCAAAGATAAGCCAAACCAGTCACCCATCACCAAAAATAAGTTTTTAGTTATTAATACAGGGCTAAAAAGTAAAATGACAGCTATAAAATGGTAAAAGAATCATTTAAATCCAACATTTCTTTTATGAAGTTACAAGGGTTTAAACATACAGCTGTTTAAGGAACAATATTTGAGAAATCATCTTTCCAAGTTTATTATTCCAGGCATTTCTTAGGCAGAAATTATCACCAAATCATTAAAAATTGTTGTTTTAACACTGAAAATAGGCAAAATAACAGCATAGCATAATGTATAGATACTGTATAAAGGTTAGTTTAGTGCAATAAAATAGATTTCAAAAATTTTAACATTCTAGCATGTTTTGGTCATTATCTCTAAAACACGATTTGCCTTGTCTTTGCCACATATAAGGATTCTATGCCTACTGTAACTCATTACTACTGACAGCCTCTACCGTGCGAAGCATACAACATCACGCACCAAAACATAATAACAGAACGGCAAATACCATGTGAACCAAAGTTTACGCATGGGCTGGGTAGGTTTGCAGATGACGTATGCTGCGACTTTCTTATTTAGAGCTGAATTCCATTTTTTTAAAAATAATACAAGCTCAAGAAATTTTTTTTATTTTTATAGCACACATTATTTCACAAGTTTTTATTCTAAAATCTTAACACTGTATAGCGGTATCATTCTTTCTGTGAACGTCAACCTTCACCAACCATGTGCATTTTGTGTCGACGTTCGTGAAGCTACTCACGTGACCCGGCCCCGGGGACCAAAAAAATATAATCGTTTGCTATTGTTATGAGTGAAGTGGGTTCTAAAAGAAAAAGTGTCAAAAATTGTTTGTGAATGAACTTTGAAATATGAAAATAATATTATTGCCAAATAGATGCTCGATGCTACTATATTCACAATCTGTGTCTATAGACGCTAAACAGTGACAGCAACCTTCAGTCTTACACACAGTTACAATATACAGGTATGGACTTTAAAAATCGCGAATCTGGTTTTGAACAGAGTAAAGTCTTGCAGCCCTACACCAAAATATACAATTGCATTTCGAACAATTGAAACTAAAAAAGGGTTATCTAAACAACCAAGCAAATTTCGACTGATTGGAAAAGGCTCGATTTCCTCTGTATGCAGTAAATTGAAAGTAATTTAGCAAAAAGATGAACATCAACATTTTCCGCTTAATTTTAACCTGATAATTCTGCAAAAATAATTGTTAATTAGAAACTGCTACAGAGTGTTTAAAAAAATGCCAAAAAAAAAAAAACCATGAAATAAGAGTCAAGACCACAAAAAATGTACAGAATGAACTGAAAATGGTTCAATTTATGAGTACTTTTTTTTTCTTGTTTATCTGGTGTATTTTACACATTTTAAATATAATTACTTTTTAATAATTTTTACATTAAAATTTTCCTTAAATTTGCAATGAAGTCTTTTTGTATCTTTGTAAAATAAAACAACATTATTTCTGAAAACCAATTTGGTTTTAAAGGCAAATACAGAATATCTCTTAAAGGCTTTTCACATTTCTGCTCCTTTTCGACAGACAAGCCAAACCAGCCAAATTGAAACTTCCTCCTGTCAGAGAAAATGTTTATTGATAAAATATGAATATGAATGTATGTTTTCTGACAAAAGGAAGTATGAGCATTTGCTTCTCTTTGTCAGAACAGAATATTGTTGAAATTGGATTAATTCTGTGACCAGTTAATAATGTAACCATTAATACTTCCGATTATTACATTACTGTTGCACAATGTGAGCACAAGGCGAAAAAACTATTAAACTTGAAAGAAACGCAGAACTTCTCGAGTAATTATGTTTAAAAAATATGAGGCTTGGTACACACATTATGATTGGTACTTCACATCTTAAGTATAGAAGATGTATTTTAATATCACTGTCTTATTGGCTTCAAAATTCTTCATAATTTGGGTCCCCCTACATTAACAACAGAGTTTGTTCATAAGAGTGAGCATTTTCAGGGCAGGCTTATTCACTGGGAAGTCAAATATAAATTTTTCTCAAATCTAATTTTGTGTCTTTTCCAAGGCACTGGGAAGAACTACAGTACCTCAAGTGAAAAAAACTTAAACATTTCCTATTTAAAGAATGATTTACTAGGAGCATTTGATGTCTTTTTATTTTTCTGATTGCTTTGTACTACTTTATTTCATTATGAAGGAAAGAGTGCAACTCTTGTTTGCTTTTGCCCATTCAGTATTCAGTCAAAACAAGTTGTTTCATTTCTGTATTCTGTAATTTGCCAAATAAATAATAATTCTTATTACTGAATAATCAGTTTTTTACTATCTAATCTGATAATACCGCAGTCTGTGTACCGATATATCGTCCAATGAACATTTAGGTACACACCCATCCACCCACTCACAGAGTTGATCAAATAATGACTGCTGCTAACTCAATTCTTACTTATTAAATATTTCTGAGGGCCTATTATTTTTAAGTGGCCTTTAATTGGAGGTTACTGTACGAAGTCTTTAATTGCAGGGGTCATTAATTAGAGGGAGACTTGTATTCGATGACTATGTGTCACTATACTACTCCATTTAAAAACCGTCAATTACTACCACCAAACACCTAGTTTATGACACACAAAATTACGAGGATATTTCAAAGTGGGTGGAGCCAGTTACGGTCGCATGACCCCGCTGGTAACATCACCACTCACCAATCTAGTCTATTACAGTATATGACGTTTTGGTTTATTGCTGTTTTGAAAAGTTCAGCATGCATGGACTCCTAAAACCTAACTTACTTCATGAATGAATGCCATCTTTTAAAATCTTATTGCATGTCTCCCTGCAAATCATGGTCCGTGGTCTATTTTAGCAGTTTTGGTCTCTAATAAAGAAAGATATTTGAATTGATATTTGTGAATTTGGGACCACAGAATAGTGGTCTTTATTCAATTCACAATTGGTTGGAGGTTGTCATTATTGGAGGGGTCTTATATTGGGAGACCTCAGACCTGTAATCAGAGTTGCCAACTTTTCCAAAAAAAAATCTGTGAGAATTGCGTAGCAACGCGCCATTGGCTGGGGGCCGGGAAGCCCCCTTGAAGCGAGCAAAATCTGGGCATTTTCACTACTGATTTGGTTGATCTTGGACACTAAATTAAGTCAAACATATATGTATGTTACACTTATAATAAAACCAAAAAGTTATACTCATTTAAATTTGACCAAGTACAGTACTATAAACTTAGGATGAGTATCCGACAGTTGCTTGATGTAAAGTTAAAACATTTTTACGAATTCTGGTCTTTTTGTAGATGGATAATAAATCAAATCAAATCAAATGCTTATGCTTACGCTAGAAGCCGTACATCTATAAAAGCAGAAGCAATGCAACTTAAACTACCTAATGGCTCTCTTTCATCCTCCAGCTTTGAAAGTTAGTGAAATTATGAATGCAACCTTCAATGCTGTGTATGTCAATGAAGACACCACTGTAATATCAGAACCTCATCAACATTTTGACGGTCCACCTAGAGATTACCATCGATGGTGTTGAAGCAGCCATTAACCACTTAAACCCAAACTCATCACCAAGCCCAGATGGGGTTCATCCTCGGGTACTGAAAGAATGCATTAAAACTATATCTGTTCCATTACATAATATTTTGTAAATCTTTCAGCTACATACCAAATGCACGGAAAGAAGCTACCATCACACCTATTCATAACGACGGTTCCAGAACTAACCCATCGAACTACAGGCCAATAAGTCTTACATCTGTTATGCAAATTATTAGAGAAGATGATTAAAACTGCCATGATATTGCATAAATAAAACATAAATGCATATAATGATTTTAAAAAAATCAGTTTTAATACAGAATTTTATTATTGGGCATTTTTACCTAGGCCCTACCTGTCATTTGGGGCCATTTTTACCCAGGACCATTTTTAACCGGGGCCATTTTTTCCGGGGCAATTTTTCTGGGGCCATTCTTACCGTTCACGATAACAACTCCCTGCTAAGCATAGGCTTACAGTAGTAGTAGAGTGGCTAGCTAGGCCCTACTAGACAGGCCGCTTAGGTGCCGCTCCCCTGTGCCTAGCCTACTAGGCCTAGTAGTAGTAGGCCCGTACTATACTACTAGGCCTACGTCAACAACACACAATGCCCAGGCTAATACGCCTTTTTCACGAATCGGTAGACATCTTGAAGTGATGACAAACATTGCGAATCAGCGGTGCGTAACCAACAGAAATAAGATAAGCTTTTAGGCGGATTTTTTGACATCATGTTATTTAAAAAATCATAACTCTATAACGGGGCGTCGTATCCAAAAAAAATTTCCAGCAAAATGTTCTTAAAAGACTAGTCTACACCACTATATGATTGAAAAAAAATTGAAAAATTTTGTTGACCTCTGAAATCAAGATTGAAAAATAAAAGCCTATCTCAGTAGTCTATTAAAATAGGTATATGCATTACAGTGCTGTAGTACTAGTATTACTCTGAACTAGCATTGTTTTAGTTACCATATGAGAGTTTCCTGTGTTAAAAACATGATTTACTATACTATACCTCTTTATAAAACATAACTTGTACTTTGTAATAAGAGAAATATGTATATTATTAGGGTGTCCGGTGAAAAATAAAATGTTAATATATTTCAAACAAATTATATATTTTCTGTTAGTATTTTACCTCATTATTACACAAAAGAAAAAATTTTGAAATTCCGACTTGTATTTTCTGAAATATTGGGTCTTAAACTTCGGGTAAAATCACCGTTATTGGCCACGGTCTATGTAAATCTCTCGGCGAATGTTGGAAATGACGTCATTTATCGTAATTAATAATGCTGTTAATTACGATAATAAGGAGTTGCTGGACATATAAATGTTTATAATGTCATTAAAATATGTTATTACACGTTTATAAAATGAGGTTATGTGTTTACTGAATGTATTACTGATGATTTTAGTATGCTTTTTTCCTTAGTAACTAGACAGTGAAGAGAGATCACGTGACGCGACGGTCCGCTAGTAACCATCAGCCAGCCAGCTATTCCACAGCAAATCTTCATTGTATAGGCGCGTTTACTGTACGGGCGGCGTGACAGGACGGCTTTATGTGTATATAACCTGTATTTTCAGACTTATTTCTTATGATTTGTTTATTATTATTTGAAAAACAAATGAATATTTCATCAATCTCATATTTTTTAGTATGAAATCAACATTCCCAACACTGATACTTTCAGCAACTCCAGCTTACTTCTTGCCCACAAAAACCATACAATTGACAAAAAAAAATATTCAAAGCCATGTACAGAATATTCTAAGTATTTTTATTATCATTATATCCCTCTTCACATATCAAAATTTGTATAGTACAGTCATTACTAATTGTTAAATAATTATTTATCAATATGAAATAAACTTTAATGAGGCTTATAGCCTAGAATACTACAACTGATTAGGTAAGCAAGCAGACTTGTTGACAGGTTGGCATAAAAATTACTGCATTTTTATGTTAATTAAAATAGTATTATTATTCACATTAAAATTATAATTCAGATTCAGCTTTTAGACTTCTTTAGTCTCGGTAATTACCAAAAATTACATTTTCTTTAATTTAATGCTGTGTTTATTTTACATGTTTTAAATACAAAATACAGATTTTTTTTTTTTACATTATCAAATCAGCAGCATAGTATCGTGTCCTCTCCATGTCTGATGTTATATGTTCTCTCCAGGTCTGATGTCTTGTAGGCTAAATTCACCAGTTGAACATTTTAAAAATCAGTGTAATGAAAAAGCATTAAAATTACAAAAAAGCAGTATGAAATGAAAAATTATAATCAGAAATGAAGAGGCGAGTAGATATAGTATTAAATGGTGAGCAATCTAGATGAGTCTACGTGCTTGGAATTAAAATGAGATTATTTCTACTCTATGTGAAATTAGTTTAAAATGTTATACATTCTAAAATCTGCAAATTACAAAATTTTGTAAAAAGTAGAAAACAAAGTTAAATAAAAAATATATATTATATTAATATTATTCTATATTAATATTATATTAATATTATTATATATGTCTACATAAAATTAGTTCAAAACGTTTCTATTCCAACTCTCAATTCTTTCACAACTTCTCTGAAAATGAGAGCAAAAACAGATGTACAGTACTCTGAAAAAAAAAAAAACAACCATACTCTAAAAAAAAAAACCCAACGACAATGGTTTCTATTCTACTATAAAAAAAAACAAACCCAAAGATAATTTCTATTCACATTTAAGAATTAAGCACACAAAGATATTTCTAGTCTACTAAACACAGAAAGATATTTCTAGTCTACTAAACACAGAAAGATAATAACATGCAAGTATAATAACCTCTATTCTACATGGAGAAAAAAAACACACAAAGATGATTTCTACTCTACATGAAATCAGTTAAAGAAAGAAAACATTAGTAAAAATGTTGCGTGCTGTATAAATATAGAAGATTTCTATTCTACTTGAAATCAGTTAAAGAAAGAAAACATTAGTAAAAATGTTGCGTGCTGTATAAATATAGAAGGGGGGGGGGGAAGACAACTGGTTCTCCAATGAACAGGTTTCTGTTGACAATGGTCTGTAGAAGAAAAAGATTTTAAGAAAATAATGAGAAAAAAAATTACTTTCCATATTTTTTACAAATTTATGAACATTATATTTATGAATATGATTGTATTTGTCAAGGATAACAGTATGATATATATTGAAATATAATACTGTGTAATACAGACAAAATTATTTTTCTAGGCTCTTGTGCTTGAAGAAACAAATGGTCGATTGCTCCTACCACACTGTAGCCAATAATACTTTAGAGCTAGAACTATAACCTACAGCTAATAATATTTTAAAAATAAATAAATAATAATAAATAGTAATAAAAATAATAACTTAATAATTCAGAGCTAACTGTAACCTAGAGCCAATAATAAAACAAAAAAATAAATAATAATACTTTAATAATAATACTAAATAATAATAATAATAATAATAATAATTTACTATTTTAAAATGGTACTTGCAAGAAGCCTAAAATTCCTAGAGCCAATAATAAAACAAAAAAATAAATAGTAATACTAAATAAAAAAATAAAAAAATAATAATAATAATAATAATAATAATAATAATAATAATAATAATAATTTACTATTTTAAAATGGTACTTGCAAGAAGCCTAAAATTCAACAGGGCTGAAAAGAAACTGAATATCTCAGACTTTCTTTGACAGCTTATCACATTTTGGCTTCTTATTAGCACCTTAACTAAATAATAATAATAATAATAATAATAACAATAACAACAACAACAACATATTCCTACACTAATATAATCAATAAATGTTTGGAGTACAAAATGTGTGCGGGACCACATGCAGTACAACAATCATTTGCTCATAATAATAAAAAATATTAATTAATAATAATAATAATAATTGACCTGATGCCCACCTGACCTACAGACAATAAAACTAATAATAAAAATAAAATAACTGACCTGATGCCCACCTGACCTACAGACAATAAAACTAATAATAAAAATAAAATAACTGACCTGATGCCTACCTGACCAACAGCCAATAAAACTAATAATAATAATAAAAATACAAGAACTGACCTGATGCTTATCTGACCTACAACCAATAAAAATAATAATAAAAATAAAACAACTGATCTGATACCTACCTGACCTACAGCCAAAAAAACTAATAATAATAATAATAACACTGTAAAATAATAATAATAATAATAATAATAACTCACCTAATGCCAATTAACTATCAATAATAATAATAATAATAAAAATAAAAATACTTAATCTAATCTAATGCAATACTGTAAATAAAAAAAAAGCTTAATGCAATAGCCTATAAAAAACACCTATGACACCTTATCAAACCTCAATAATAAATAATAAGAACTGACCTGAAGCCTACCTGACCTACAGCCAATAAAACTAATAATAATAATAATAACACTGTAATAGATACCTAGTCTAACCTATATGCAATACAATATAAGAAAATAAAAACAGAAGCTTAGTGCAACAACCCTAATTATAATAACTAATAACAGCCTAATCTAAACTAACTCTTATAGAATAATAAATAAATACAGGCAAGGCCACTAGGACTAACTATACTGCTAATCATGAACATGCATCTTCACGTCAATTTTTTTAAAAATTATTTTGTTTTTTGTTTTTGTTTTTGTTTTTTTTTTTAATGATCAAAATGGGAAACTAGGAAATTTAGGTGGAGCCTAATCTAAACTAACTCTTATAGAATAATAAATAAATACAGGCAAGGCCACTAGGACTAACTATACTGCTAATCATGAACATGCATCTTCACGTCAATTTTTTTTTAAATTATTTTGTTTTTTGTTTTTGTTTTTGTTTTTTTTATGTTCAAAATGGGAAACTAGGAAATTTAGGTGGAATGTCGAGGATGGTATTAGGCCAATAAACCTGTGTTGCCTATGGAAACAAATTAGTGGAACAGGCATTGTTATATTATTTTATTTCAGATTTAATTACATGTCAGATAAATGACTTGGCAGAACAAATTAGATTTTTTTTTACCAAGACAACAATAAATAAAGCTAATTTTTATTATATCATTAATATTAGTGTTAAAGGTCTATGATTGATTTAATTTTTAAATGACTTGGCAGAATAAATTAGATTTTTTTTTACCAAGACATCAATTAATATTAAATTG